CTTAAACGTAGCTAAAATGAGCTAAATTTAACTTCACAGCTATTTTTGCAGGTCAGTTAAATTCTTACTTTTACTTTTAACAGTTTTTGGCCTTATTTTTTATTGTTTTTTTTAACAAAATATCTTACTGTTTGTAAACTTTAGCTGTTTGTTTCTTGTTTCAGGATTTGTTTGCCACTTACTCACTGGCCTTATTTTTATTATTATTATTTTTTAGAAATTTCCTCTTTAATTTTTGCAAAATTTCGCCAAATCTGACCAATCCTTGGTCAAAGAAGTAATATTTTTGCCGATCCCTTAAAAAAAAAAGCTAAGATAGGCAATCTTAGCTTTTTTTTTATCGGAGCTTTGACCACTTTAAAGAAGTAATATTTTTGCCGATCCCTGCTTATCTTAACTTTTTTTGTTTTTTTTTATCGGAGCTTTGACCACTTCGACTTAAAATTATTCCTGACAATTAGCCACACTGCCACTGATGAGGACGTTAGCACCCAAACCAAAGCGTAATCTCCATAAACTTTATTTGTGAACATGAACCAGCGTTTGTCTCTACACACAGCTGTAGAAACAGAGACGTGATGAATCACACAAAACCAAAAAAACAAACCAAACAAACGGTTACTGTACATTCGGTAATACTTAACATCACAGTACACGAGCTAACCGTTAACCTACCGCTAACAATGTTACATATTAGCAGATAAGTCCCTTCTTAGTCAGACTCATTTGTGCACTGTTCTGCACCAACATATCCTTCAGGGCTGTAGGTCATAGTCAGGTGTGTTCTGTACGTACATGTGAAGTGGAGCCATGCATTAAAACGAGCTGTGCTATGGTTCGCAAAAGCAACACGTTGGCAAGTTATACTTGTGGCATTTACACTGTTAATGATTAGTTTTTATTTACATGTTTTTTTATTGAACTTTTTTTTTTCAACTAATTTCTGAATAGCATGCCTTATTGTATTTTAAAGAAATTCCTACATACGCAAAGAAAAACAACATAATAAAACAAATCTTTACATGAATTACCATGAGTACTCTGAAGAAGTGAGCATGCAGTTCTGGGTTTTATTTACTGGGTGAAATAAATTTAAAATAATTTGATCTCTTGCAGTGATTTTTCCTAAAAAAAAAAAGACAGAAAAAAACTAAAGTTCAGTTTGTGTTCACAAACTCACTTTCCACTTTGTTCGAGAGCCGTTTCACTACTTTCAACATTGAGTAAGACTTTAGTGCACGTTAGTCACAGTTTGCCATGCACATCTGAGCGTGTGTGTGTGTGTGTGTGTGTGTGTGTGTGTATACCATGGTGCATTTCTACCGTAGGTACTTGCAGGGACACTTCGTAGGCACACTTTAAACAATGATCAGAAATGTCTCCCACAGAATGAGAGATTCTGGCAGACTCTCCCGGTGAGAGCTGACCAAGAATAAACCACTTCTCATTCTCAGATCCAGGGGGAGCTGTGGACACAAAACAGCTGCATGCTGCGTCTGCACAGCAACACTGACCTGCAGGGGGCAGAAGAGAAACACACAAGTGCTGCAATGAGCTGAGAATCAAAGCAAAACCAGAGACACAACCAAAACATTCCCTGTTTTAGCTCATCATCTTCAACAGAGTTTAAATGTATTTATTATTTATGAAACTCACAGAGTAACAAGTTTCTTCTCCCATGTAAACTTCATAGGCTTCACATGACAGAGCAAACACCAGTCTGGACAGTCTTTCCGTTCCGGTTCTTACAGTACCTGCATCAGAAGGGAAATGTTTCGACGTCAGTCAGTACGACTTTTGGCCCAAAGTCTTTTTTTTTTTTTTTTTTTTTAACAGCACAAGATAAAACTGTTGTACAAACCCGTTCAGGTTGGCGGGCTCTGAGTGGTACACTGCTTTGCCTTTTCCAGCGATCGTGGGCAGATGGTGTGTGTCACATTGGCTGTGACTTACTTTCAACGTGTGGAACTGGCTCTTCAGTTCCACGGGGCTCGGGGGCAGCGACATGTGTTTCGTCCCGCTCCTCTCACCCTGCCCCCCACTGGGCTCCGGCTTGTCTGGCTCCAGTTCTTGGCGCGTGTTAGAGGACAAGTCGATCACCTTGATGTCTGGGATGCTGGTGGCTCTGGTGGCCAGCTCTGAGTGAGCCTGCTGCAGCTTCTTCATGTGGTTGATGGCCACAGCAGCGTTGAAGGCTTGCTGTAAAAAAAAAGAGACATGATGGTCCATTAAGATAGGTTTAAAACTGATTTAACAGTGAAGAGCTCTCCATCGGCTCAACGTCAACGTGGTCGTGATTACAAACATATTTGTTATTAAAGCGTCCTTCATCAGAAGGGTTTAACTCGGCACCAGATTAATCAGCGCAATAAACCAAGACGAAGACGACTGACCTTCCACTTTGACTTGGCAAAGTTCTTTTGGATTTGCACACTGACAGAATAGTAGATGTCCTGGCTGCGAGCCGTCTTCCCTATAATCCTACAGAAATGACAGACAGAGCAGGACAGACATGAAGGAGGAGGAGGAGGCACAGAAACCTTCCTCCCAGGTACACGAAACTGGTCTGAGAACTTTTTTTTTTCCAACTCTCCTGTATTTTTGTCCAATATTCCAAATATTTCTCTTCACTCTCTGTAGAACCAACACAATCTTACCTTTCACTCCAGCAGAAGAAAAAGTTTCTTTTTGGAAGTTGCAAACTCAATAATAAAACCAATCATGAATCAGATACATTTGTGTTCGTTTGTATTTTATGCCAAGTGCATGAACTTGTTCTGCATCGTTAATGTTTACAAGTTCTTGCACAGTGTGTGGGGTCACGGGGTCAGGGAAACGGTGTGCTTTTATCTGTTTTTTGTTTTTTTGCTCCAGACCAAACACGTGACAGGCCTGTCTACTGTCTGTGAAGCCGAGTCTGATGACTGACACTCACCACGGATGTCTGAGCGCCTGCTCGGTGGTGAAGCGCATTTTGGGATTCTTCTGTAACATGTTGCGGATGAAATCTTTAGCTGCGGACAAACACGGAGAGGTTAATGCACAGTGGGGTAAATCAGTGCAGCCCAGCACTGAACTGCACTGCCTGGGGCAGTTCTTCAGGTTTGTCTGAGCAGGTAGAAGACACAGTGATCTTTACCAGATTCAGAGATATCGTCCCAGAAGGGGGAGTCAAACTCATACTGCGCCTTCATGATCTTGGAGAAGAGTCGGGTCTCGCTGTCTTCATAAAAGGGAGGGTAACCACAGAGTCTGCAAGAAAGGGGTAATAATCAATATATATATATATATATATATATAAATATATATATATTCATGTAATGTGAAGTAGAGCTGATGAAATGTAATCATTAATGGGGCCAGGGTGGGTGGGCGGTGGAGTAAATGTCTCTGAGATGAGGATGTATACTCACAGAATGTAGGTGATGACTCCGATTGACCAGCAGTCTACTGCCTTGCTGTAGGGCTTCTGTGCCAAAACCTCAGGAGCTGAAAATGAAAGAAACAAAAGTCAGATCCCTGAGTCTATGGGTCAGTCAGTCTATGTATCAGTCAGTCTACGTGTCAGTCAGTCTATGTATCAGTCAGTCCATGTATCAGTCAGTCTACGTGTCAGTCAGTCTATGTATCAGTCAGTCCATGTATCAGTCAGTCTATGTATCAGTCAGTCTCCGTGTCAGTCAGTCCATGTATCTTATCTGCCAGTCTACGTGTCAGTCTTCCAGTGGAGTCTGTGTCCACAGGATCTCAGGTGTCCACCCATCAGTCCTTACCTACATATCCTGGAGTGCCACAGGCCGTGGACATGATGCCGTTGTCTTCGATCTTTGACAAACCAAAGTCACTGATCATGATCTTGGAGTTTTCATCTGTGCAGTAGTACAGTATGTTCTCCGGCTGCAGACAAGAGAACCCACAGAAGAGCCGTAAAACACTAACGTTCTCTGTAAACTTTTTTCTTTTCTTTTTTTAAATATAATTTTCTAAATTGTATTTTTTAAACAAATCATCACTATACAATAATAATAATCAAATGCGAGTGGGCAAGTCTTATTACAATCATTTTGTAACTTTTGTAATTTGCGTGCAAAGAGCTGAAGGTCTTTGTTTCACCATCACAGTGACCTGTATTATTGTAATTTTTCCTTTAGCCCAGAGTTAATAACACATTTGAAGTTGAACTCAGGATCCCTGAGGAATCATGTGAAGAATAACGTGACAGAAGTTCAAAGGTAAACAAAAAGCCTCAGGTCGTTTTCATAACTGATGCTGCTGTGGAGGCAAAACAAAAGGAGATTTATGAACTTGTGAGAAGTGGAGAGGCTGGTCCTGAGGCTCAGCTCTGTTATGTTTGACCACTTTTAAAAACCCTGACACTGGCATATAATAGTTAAGACCTTAAAAGACTCCATGTTTTTTGTTTTGGGGCTTGTGTTTTGTTCGTTTCCACTCTCTTACCTTGAGATCCCGATGCACTACACCATTTTGGTGCAGGTAGGTGACGGCGTGCAGCACCTGCTGAATGACTCTGCTGGCATCCTTCTCTGAGTAAACCCCCCGCTCCAGGATACGGTCGAAGAGTTCACCGCCGGACACACTGGTGGGAACAAAGTCGACCTTGTTACATTTGAACGTCGTTCAAAACGAGCCGTAAACTGAAGTGAAAAGACGTCACACTCACAGCTGCATGACGAGGTAGTAGTGGCTACGACTTTCATAGAAATCGTCCATTCCTATGATGTTCTCATGTCGGATTCTGTTTTGGGAGAAAAAGAAAAGAAAGAGAAAACACCATGAGGTCACTGATTTGGGAGAAAAAAAAAGAAAGAGAAAGAGAAAACACCATGAGGTCACTGTCCTCTTTAACTCCAAGTCAGGCCTACAATTTCTAGCAACAGTTCAGAACGGCACTGGGTCCTGCATACAGTAAATCTCAGATTTACCTGCAGTACTTTATATTTCATGCACTGCATCTTTGTATTCGGTTAAATGGTGTACACATTTTTTAATGTTAAAAAATGTAATATCAATTCTAAAAATAGATTAGATAGTAATATGTCAATAATGACCTCCTCAACACAGCGATCTCATTCTCCAGGTTCAGATCCGTCTTCTGTTTCTTCTTCACACACTTCATGGCGAACGTCTTCCCCGTCTTCCTCTCCTTCACCATGTAGACCTCTGAAAACGCCCCGCTGTGAGGAAAAACAACAAACACAGTCAGCATTGAAAAAGTGGAAATAAGCCTTTAAAAAAACACAGTTGGGTTTCCTGTCTGTCATCAGCCATCGACTGCTGCTTTAGTCTATTCCTCCTGTGTTTCCACAGCCGTTGTTTATCGGCAGCGTGGGTTGTTATTCATATTTGAAGCACTTCCTTTGATAATTACGTGGAAACTTTGTGTCAGTGTGAAAACCAGAATCAACACTGGGAACAGAAACAGCAGCATCCTGGGACTCTTTCTGCAGCACGGCTGTTAGCATGTCCCTGCTAATTCTCTGAGCTGTTCCAGGTCCAGACTATTTTCAGCAGTGTCTGGGAATAGTTGTCCTAGCAGCGTGGATTAAGACGCGTCTTATCCCTGACGCGATGGAAACAGTGGCAGGCTGAGGGACTGAGCATGTGCAGCACAGGCCCAGGGGTGTGTGTGTGTGTGTGTGTGTGTGTGTGTGTGTTCGGCTTGATCCACTCTGTACAGTACAGGTCAGACCATGTCAGGTTACAGACAAGTGTCCAGGCCGTAATCCTGCCCTGTGTCCTCTGACAGGGATGATACTGAGGCTGAGCACAAGTGGTGAACACACACACACACACTGGTGCAGGTGGTGAACACACACACACACTGGACCAGGTGGTGAACACACACACACTGGACCAGGTGATGAAGATAACACCATGACTGCAGCAGACTCAGTATTTGCTTCATTTCCCTCATCAGAGACTCAGTTCGGTCGAAGTCTTTAGTGTCACATTGAAAGATATTGTTGAGAGTCAGTGATCCACAGTAGTGATGAAGAAGAAGAAGAAGATGATGATGATTTAACCAGAGGGTTTCAGTCAGCCACAAACTACCTCCATATCATTATTAACCCACTCATTAACTCATCTGTTAGTGCACCCCGCCCCCCACCAGGGTCTGACTTATTACATCTACATCCTCTCCCCAATGATCCACTGTTTACTCTAAATTGAAAGGTGTGAATGTGAGTGTGAATGGCTGTTTGTCTCTATATGTGGCCCCGTGATGGAGTGGAGAACTGCTCAAAGTGACACTTAAAGATTGTAGGTGATGGATGGAGGGAGGGAGGGAGGGAGGGGGGTAATTAACCTTTCTTCTACTATTATCTTCTTTCCTTTCTTTGTTTGAACATTCCTTTCTTCTTCTTCCTACTCGGTTCTTTTTCTTCCTTCTTTCATTTCTTACTGTCTTTTCTGCTTCCTTCTTTTCTGTTTTTCCCTCACTTCTGTTCTTCTACTGTTCCTTCCTTGCTTCCTTCTATCCTTCCTTCCTTACTTCCTTCTGTCCTTCCTTCCTTCTATCCTTCCTTCTATCCTTCCTTCTGTCCTTCCTTCTTTCCTTCCTTCCTTTGACACATGCTCTTTTATTGCATGTAATGTTTTATTCCACCACAGGGAGGCCGACAGGAACAAACATCATTATTACATGGCTCCACCATGGAGAGTTGCCTCTCATCAAAGCTGTTTCCTTCCAGAACCTTCCTGCAGCTCCCTCCCAGAGGGCAGTGACGATTCAAGGCCTGGACAAACAGAAACGACTGACGACGGCGTCGACGTCATGTGTGAAATTAATATTAGCAGTGTGTCGACTAAAAGTAAATGTTCCTCTTTAATGAGACGTCTCAGAGGAAGCAGCGTCCCGTTACTAGGTAACGGGCAGGATGTTGTCTCTGGGCTGTGTGATGAGGCCTGATGGGAGAAGCTGCATCTGGCACTTGGATATAATCCACTGCTCCCTGTGGACCGTCTGACTTTGAGACGGGACGAAAAAAACATCCTGAAAAAGCGGTTCAAACAGTAAACAAGTGTAGACGGTGTTATATTGTACCGATGTAAACTGCGGGTTGTGGCCCATAAATAGGTCATATGACCGAACTGGCCGGAAAGAACCAAATATGAACAAAGTGGTTCAATATGAATTCAGTATGATGGATGTCGGAGTCATTAGTCGTCAGTGGTGTGTTCAGGTGTCCTCTGTTTTGTAGATGAGAAATGAGAGTGTGAAAACTGTTTTCTCTGCCAGAGTCTGTTTGTGGCAACATCAACCTCACGTCTCACACCTGTATTTACTGCTGCCCTTTGATCCTCTGTTCTCTCCACACTAAAAACACCTGCTGCTGCTGCTGCTGCTGCTCATCATTAATGCTGAGCAAACAAGAAACTAGGAGACAGTGAAGTGACTCGATAAACATTTGATCAGAACTGTTTAGTTAAATCGAAACATAACTGAAGTCTGTGTGTGTTTGGTTTCTCTTGTCTCTTTCCTCCACTCTTCTTTTATTCTTCCTTCCTTGCTCCCTTCCTTTCTTTCTTTCTTCCCTCTTTCGTTCCCCTCCATTATCTTTACTTCCTTCCTTCGTTCCCTCTTCCGTTCCCCTGCATTATCTTTACTTCCTTCCTTCGTTCTTCCTACCCTCCTTTCTTAGTTTCTTACATCTTCCCTGCTTCTTCATCCCTCCCCTTATTCGACCTCACTCATTTTTTCCATGCTTCCTCCACTTCTTCCTTTCCTCCCTCCCACCATCTCTTTCTCTATTTCAATTTTCTTTCTTTCTTTCTTTCTCTCTGTCTAGCTTTGCAATTTTTTTTTGAATGAACTGATCTCCAGACACAGTCAGCCTCTGTCTAGATCCTGTAAGAGACAGAACGTCTTGTTGTCTAAAACCCTGCTAAAGTCGCCTTCCTCGTGTCAATCCATTTAAAGCAGTAATCTGTCGTCCAGTTCAGGCAGCATGCTGACAGTAATCACTGCCTCGTCTGTTGTGTTTTCATATAAAATGCTCTGATGGTTGTTGACATGTTACTGTATGATCACCAGTCCAGAGGAAAACAGATTCTACAAACAGGGTGAAGACATTGAACTAAAGCAGGTGTTACTCACGAGCCCAGCTCCTCCATGAATTCAAACACCTCCTGGATGTTTTCAGTGTTCTTCTTCCACACGTAGTCCGCCTCCTGACGACCCATATCTGCAGACACTTTGGTAGAGGATTCTGTCAGAGGACAGAGGAAAAGTTAAGCACTAAAGGTACACGACACAAGATTTTCTATTAGATTATTGAGAAGTGGTGAAAACAGAGTCTGCTGAGCTCCTCAGACTGACCACCGCTGGACGCAGCATCATGAAGCCTTGTCTGAAAAACAGTCTACCGTCCCATGTGCTATTTATTTTACATTTACATTTTTTGGCTCAAAATTTTTAATTTAATTTTTAAATTCTATTGAAGACCAGTAGGTGGCAGTCTCTAGGTGGAAGTACATGGCAGTAATGTCAAAAATGCCTCAAGGAAAAGATTAAGAAGCAGACAGACGACTTAGTTTGTTTAGAGTTTAAAAAAAATTAGTTCTGATCTTGTTGGAGGTGTACAGCTCCACAGATCAGTGGCTACAATGACTTAGTGCTAGTAGCTATAATGTCGGAGTAGCAGGGCTACAGCAGCGTTACAGTACAGTGGCCTGACTCAGATGAGTCTGTCAGTTACATAATTCTACATTAGACTGAGCTCAAATCTAATGATGTCATCAAACTACTGCAATTTTAGCACCCCCTGTGGGAGAGAAACTGGAACTTCATGCTCATCGTTTACAATTTTTAATTATATAGCAAACTAAAAAAAAATTAAATATAAAATATTACATTGTCAAATATCAAGATGAGTATAAAGTTCAAAGAATAAAGTTCATCAAACTGTTTGAGGTCCAGGATTGGAAAGAAGCGATGACTTATCTAATCAAAGCCAGGGTTTTGTGGAGGATTAGGAACATGCCAAATAAACAGGTTACCCACTTTGGTTTGCTGCCCTCTTTACTCTTATATAAGGGATTAGGAACTCTCCAACTCTCCTCCCTGTCGTCGCTCTAACCCTCCGTCTCCACTGAGACACAGCTTATATAATGGACACAATTATTAAACATTAACTGAAAACTGAATTTTTCATACTGTACGTCCACGTCAACAACACATCACTGTTGTTTCCACTGCGCCTGTGTTCGTCCGATGCCGCTGACTAACATCTTGTTTACCTGATGAAACCTCACACTCCTGTGTGTGAATCCCTTTTTTATTTCCCTCTTGTTTGGCCTGTACAACAGTAATCCAGCTCTTGTGCAGCTCCTCGGGTCAGAACATGTGAGGCTGCAGCAGGAGCCAACAGGATGTTGGACATTTGTTTAATCACTCATTTATTAGTATTGATTTAGTACTGATTAACAAAGTACACACATCAACAGCTGCCCCTCCACTGACACCAAGCTCTGAGTCACTCTTTTAATGTTGATGCTTGGCACTGGACATTAAATCGCATTACAAAAATATGTTTTATTTACCGACTTATTTTAACATCTTTGCCTTTTGTTGAATAATTCTTAGCTCCCAATGATTAACACGTCAGAGGAAAAGTTATCAAGCTTTATCAAGGTTTAATTAAAAAAAAAGATGCAAACCAGATAATAAAATTTAAAAAAAATCTGGTCGAATAAACACCAATAAATTGCATGAAATAAGTCGTATGAAATGCTAAATTTAAGTCAAATATACCATAAAAATAACCCAAAATACACCAAGATTTTTTTGTTTTTCTTATTTTGAAAAAACCTAAATACTGAAAATGAAAACATGTTTTCGTGAAAATCTAGTGATTGACTTATCATAACAGTGACCAACGACTAACGGCTGTATATACTGTAGTACCAGACAGTGACGGAGTGGCTGAGAGTGTGCAGCTCCGTCTCTCTGCTCTAAAGTCTCAGGCAGAATAATAAATACAGCGTTCTGCGGCAGAACACATCTCACACTCTTCACACACACACACACACTCTTCACACAGCGTAAAGTGAGCTGCTCTCACTGCTGAGTCCAAACCACCAGGAGTGAGCAGGAAGCATAGAAGGATAAATGATTAATCATCATTTCCCGGGACAACAGTACCAGGTCCCCTCAGCTTCAAAACAGTGATGTTCAGTCTTCCACATCAACACCAGACCTGACGAGGACTCATTCATTTACATATTCATTTCATTCATTGCCACTCACCTAGAGACTCTGCACTGCTGCAGCTGCTCTGCTCTGACTCCTCTGCCAAAAGCTCTGGACAGATTACTGCGTCTGTGTCCTCCGAACAAATACCTGCCGTCAAGTCGCAGATTACATCCATGGAGACTGGAGGGGAGGGAGGAGAGGAGAGGAGAAGAGAAGAGAGGAGAAAAGAAGAGAGGGAGGGTTGACTCTCACCGGTGCTGCTCACTGAGACATGTAAGCTGTTGCTGCTGCTGCTGTTGCTGCTGTTGCTGCTGCTGCAGTCACTAGCGGTGACTCCCTGCAGTGGTTAATGTAGAAAACTGTGTGTTGAACACAAACAGAACTATTTTTTTCAATCTGGAGTGCAGATGCCCACACACACACACGCAGCAGATATCATCTATGATCAGCAGATGTAGTCACAGCCCTCTCCTATTGGATCAAACCAGCGTTCAGTAGAGTGGTATTCAAACAGATGTTTACGAAGAGTCGTGTTAAAGTGATGAATTCACAGAATTGGCATAAAGTACAAATAAATAATACAAGTCTGCAGCAGTTGCTAATGTTAAAGAATCATAAAGTCACTAGCGGTGAACATCACATTCATTTGCTGCAACACCCTCAGCCTACAGTTCCTTTTTTTTTATCATTCCCTTGATTTTGGCCAGGACAGTGATTTCTATAGAAATATTTACAATTCGTGTCAGATGGTGGCAGTAATGCAACTGAATACTGAAAAAACATGTAAATGTTATGTAATATATTATATATGTTATTACAACTGTAATGACATGTATATTATATAACATTTATAGACCAATGCTGGTTGCATGATGAGATCAACACAGTATCAAAAACAAAACAACAAACCTTTAGGACATAGGCATTCAAACCATATTTTTAGCACCCCCTGCAGGGTGAGTGAGGAAACGCACAGACCCCCAAATCATTAATGAGTGGTTTAATCTTGTTTCCAAAGAGGAAACAATAGCAGCAGCAGTGCCGTAGCAGCAGCTCAGTGATGTGGAGCGTGGCTTTTGCAGCATTAGCCTCTGCCCAGAGAACAGGACACAGTGTGGTCTTTAGAGAAAACCTTTAACAGGATTATGTATTCTGAATCAGCATCATTTCACCCGCCACACATGGAACTTCACACTGCACACAGTCACCGTGGTCAGGTCTTATTACAGAGCTGGCTTTTTCTCCTCATCTATTTACAGCACACAAACCGCCCCTGCAACAAAAACAAACAAAACAATATATACAGTACATCCACAGTTATTTCATAAAGGCACAACGTCACTGCAGCCGTGAAGGCCAGTACAAAATATTTTCACTGCTTATCACAGATGATTGATGGTTTTTGTGCATTTTCTTTTTTACATAAGAAGACAGCAGTAATTGCACAAGCTTGTCATGTTGTCATGGACACGGTTGCCGTGGGTGTTCATGGTCAAAACCATGTAGTGTTCAATTTTTAGAACCAGATAAAAATAAATAAATTAAAAAAAA